CCCCCGCGACCCTGAAAAGGATAAGCGGAAGCGAATGGATGGATGGAATGGACATTAATATAGTTTTACTAATAGAAGGTGTAGCATTCTCATGTGATGCGACAAGCCAATGATCACTCTGGATGTTAGTCCGCTGTAAAACTTTAATGCGTACCCCAGCGTTAAAACACAATGCCAGTACCGGAAAAACAAAACTCCCCCCACCATGCTATTGGACCACAGTTACGGCAGGTCTCATAAACAAATATTGCTTGGCAATCATTTAATGATTCAATAATCAATGATCTACAGAAGGTAAACCTGAAATTAGCTGCTAGCTACTTTTCGCTGCGTTGGTCACAGAATAGTAACTGTAGGCAGTTAGGTCCAGTGATATCCAAGGTATGGGTTGGATTTGAATGTGTTTGGGGAGTGTGTGTGGTTGACAGGCATATTTGATGTTATCTTTTCTATTTACAGTTTTATCGTTGTTAAAGCTTTACTGCACCCAAGTGAATGGTAAATCAAGCACTTTGAGAATCACAGAGGTCTTTGTGGCTTGCTAAGCCAAAGAAAAGATCCTTTTAGATGAATTATGTTACATTAGATGAAAAGTTTTTCAACAATTTTTCCCGCGTTGTTTTTAATTTTTATGTCCATTACCTTCATCTGCTCTCCTTAAAATAATGGAAGAAAAAATGTTCATAGATATATAAATACAGGACAGAACATGTGTTGTGTTCTTTTTCTGTCAACATGCAGCAGTTGTGCTGTCTTTACCCACTTTGTCTGCTGAAAAGCAGATAGTGACAGTTGGATACGTGACCTTGTAAGATGACGGGAAAAAGAAGTCTGAAAAAGAATTTGAGACAGACACCACCACCTTGTTTTTGGATTCAGACCAGGAATCTGTCATTGAGACGTCAGCACGCTGATTAAAAACGTTATGATGACATATCTCACACATGCACATGCTCACACACAATGATCCACCCAGACCACAGCTGGAAGAGCTTTTGGGGATAAGGGATTTTGTAAACATGGGTTAAGTATGAGCCTGTCACACAGAGGGCATACATATGTGCTGTGGAATGGGGGGTGTCTTGAATGGGGGTTGCCAGGTAGAATAGCTGACTAGTGATGTCATGAGAATTGTGGAAGAAAAGACGCTGAACTGACAAGTAAACCTGTCATACGCTTTATTAAACTGCAAATTAACTAGTTGTGGTATAGTTTATTGAGGGCCCCCTATTTTCAATTATTTAATTGAATCTAATGTAGCCACCTGTTATTTAAAGTATTGGAGTAAATAGTTTTGAAGTAAATATTTGAAATTATTCATCCATCTGGAGCCTATCCCAGCTGTCTTAGGGTGAGA